AGTAAAATTGTGGCTAGTGTTCAAGTCACCATTGCCCCCATTCCCTCGGGAGTTATTTGTAAATGGTTTCTTATGTTTATATCATTCACTATATAGCCACCAAACAAAGCTAAGCCACGTGCCATGTCTTTGCCAAGCCCTAAAAAGTCTTCATCCAAACGTGACAATTCAAGCAAGTACCCTAAAAGTTTATCCGTTAAAGATATGCTGCACCTGGGAAAAGCCCTTCCAAAGAAGGAGTCAACCATTATATCAATTTTTCAATTTAATTTCAAACACATGCGTTGGTCAAGTGTACATGTACTCATTAAAGCAGAGTTTATGATTGAAGAATTGCCATTTGCTACTGGTGGATTCATGGAAGCCTTTAAGGCCACAAGTATAACAGCTGGCTTTGAAGAAACAACATGGGTAGTGAAGAAGTGCCTGACCACTGCAGTAGACGTAATTAGAGAAACTAACGAGACAGAACAAACACATGCACAGACGTCAGTACAAATGCATTATTTGGCAACAAATTTTGTTTCACAGCTAAATGAAAAAATTGCCAAAAAAGGAATAACAGATTTTGGCGAAACCTTTTCATACAAGAAAATCTTCATGGGTAAAACAGAAGATGGGGAGTATGTAGCAATTGAGGAGTACATAGATGGCGACTTTGTCAAATACATAAATAACGATGGAGATATATGTGAAGATAGAGACATTGGTGATAAGGTGCAGGCATTTGCTCACTTCACATATGAAAAATCAGAGGGCACGTTAATTGTTTTAGACATCCAGAGTGCTGGGTACAATCTATATGATCCCGAAATTGCTTCATTGCATTTGCTGGGTGATGAAGGCAACTACATGTTTTGTACTGGGAATTTGTCTGAAACAGCAATAACATCCTTTTTTAGCATTCATGAATGTAATAAGTTTTGCAGACTCTTGTCTCTTAAGTTGAGACCAAAGAAGACCAATGCCCAATAATTTAACAATCAGAACTCAAACTTTGAAAGACAGTTACAAAAACTATTATATTTGTGTTATGTTATACAACTTTGTAGAGTTATGTTACATGAGTCTGAGGACTGAGAACTCTTGGTAAATAATGTGCATTTTTATGAACAAATTTTAATACAAAATTTTACAAATATAGTATTAAAGCTTGTAATACAGTGTATGTCAAATTTTCCCTCATGACACTATTAGTCAGATACTATTCAAACTATTTTATTTGTTATGTTAGTTTTTTCTATAATTTTTGGTATATTTCAAAGGACTCAAGTGGTTTTCTTTTGACAATTAAACTGAACTGGCTTTAGAGAGCAAAATACTGAAGTACAGATGTGTATGGTAAATCAGGCCACACTGCCATTAATGGGTTGACGGGCAATATGACCAATTGTGCCCTACTATACAAGTAGCTAGCTACTATGGCACACTTGGGTGCAATACAGCTCAATGGGTTAAGCATCAGTGCTCTCCTCTTGATGAGTAAAATTGTCTGGCGTTAAAGAGAGTGAAATAATAAGGTAGGGTGCATCAGGACGCAATGCGATTCAATTGATTAATTGTGAACCATAATTATTTGTACTTTTACAGCTATATTAACATTCAGTTATATCAACATTCTGAGCTTAAAAGAAAAACTACATTGAAAGAGTGCATTTCTCCTTCAAGTACAAATATGCATTTGTCTATTCATCTGGCTTAATGGTGTAATTGTCTGGATTGAAACGCTCGCATTCTGCTCTGAACTCTTCAGTGAGAAAGTCGTCTGGGACTTGAAGAACACCAGATTCTGTTGCAGCCTCTTGAAGTTGTTCCTCAGTAACTGCAAAACCTGTAGTAGAAATGAATGGAAATTGTCTTTTTAGATATTTAGTATAGTAACTGTATATTGTCGTCAGTTGATGCTACTTGCCTGCCTGACTAACACTCCCCACAATTTGTTTCATGTAAAACGGCCAAAACAATAATTTTTAAAGGTTCCAAAAAAATAGGAGGGGGCAGAATTGTTTCTGCCCTGGGCCCCCAGCTCGAAAGGTCCCTGCAAAGCAGCTGTGGTCTATAAAACCAACGGTTAATTATAATTTTGTGATGAATTTCACAATTAACAATTATTCCCATCATTTGCAGGATAAGAAAACCAATACAACTTACCGCATTCTTCAAGATTGTACTGTTCAGGGAAGTTATAAATATGTTCCGGTACACCATCAGGAAGTAGTGTGTCTTTTTGGGATCGGATCCTCTGTGTGTTCCACACTTTTTCCCTGAAAATATCTAACTCTTTCTGTATAAGTGGCACCATAATAAAAGCCAAAAGCATCCTATATTAAAAACAAAATATCAAAATTTGTGATGGATCACTAAGGGAATAATGATCTTAGGTGAATGTTTCAACCCATGAAATATAATTCATATCACTATCTATTATTGACACAAGATGGGATGGAATCCTATATCAGATTATATTATGTACATTCACATTTTGCAGATTGAAAGGGAAAGAAAGTATTGCTTCTGTATGTTTCAAATCACCCCTGCAGTGGAACTCATTTTCATAAATATTCTAAAGCAAAAGTGTTGCAATAACCTTTATTCCTATAACTTTAATTGTTTAACTAAACCCATTAATAGGCATTCTGGTGTTAGACAGAGTTAGAGTAAAATACTACGTTAGGGCACAAACAGTGCCCATGGTCTGTGCTCACATAATGTGATAATATTCCATTAATGTACGTACTAGTAGTTGATTTTAACAATGGGTATTTACTTAACTTTCACAATGTTTACCTGTCAGTGTTATTATAAGGGTCATAGCGGCATTGGTCTTTCAGCCGACATAACTGTGTTTTAAAGAACTTTTCCATTCGTCCATGGAGCTCTTTCCACCATCTTTCAATCAACAAATACATGTCACAAATAATCTCTGTTAAATTATTTTCTCACTACCACCACATGTGCAGTCTGCCACGACAAAAGTAGCAGTGTCTTTAATAAATTTTTACACACATACATACTAGACCAAACCCTAACAAATGTATCAAATCACAAGGGTAGGAGGGTAGAAACTACCATATTTATGGAAAAAGATGCTATATTTTGAAGTGCATGCCTATAAAAGTATTGTTAATCACTAACTTTCGATCTTTACAAGTGTGTACGTATTTTGATATAACCTAATATCTAAGTTCGTTCTTGTTTATATAGTAATCCATTACCCGGATGTGTCCATAATTAATACCTAATTACTCTATAATTTATAACATAAATTATGCCTATAATAATATTACATCTCTTCCCTAAAGTATGATTACATATATTTATCGAAATTACCTACTAAGTTTAGTATTTTTTTTTCTTCTTGTTTTGGTCCTTCGTGTCCGAAAGTTTATACAGTCTTATAAATTCAATCTAGTTGGCTTCTTTATAATACGGCCACTTCTGGTTGTCACAGGGTGATCATCACCTGATATGTCTGTTTCTGGTTTTCTGCTTTTGTTTGCTATTTCCAGGTTAGGTTCACTGGTACGAATCTTTTCTTGTAAACTAGAACTTGAACAGTCTTGCCCGCTCGTCATATGGTCTATTTCTGGTTGTCTGCCGTCCTCGATTACAGGTTTTAGGTGTATCCTGTTACGTCGAACTTCGCCCCCGTTGGGTGTTTCAACCACATACGATCTTGGCTTGTTTGATTCTTGAATGACCTTTCCTGGAGTCCACGTTTTCTTTCGAGGCTGGAATACCACCACTTTCTGCTCAGGTAGCAGCTTAGACAACACACGTGGAGAGTTCACATCATGCTGACGTTTCTGAACATCTTGACGCAGCTGAAGCTGTTCTTGATTTGCTGGCGTTGTTTGGCATCGTTGTAGCCTTCCGCTACAAGGTAATAATGTCCGATATTCTCGTTGATTTAGTAGCTTGGCTGGTGACGGTAAATTGTTGTCTACGGGTGTTGTCCGATATGTAAGTAATGCAAGATATGGGTCTTCACCTGCAGCTTCCGACTTGCATAGTAAGTTCTTTACAGTTTGAACCATTCGTTCTACAAAACCGTTACTTCGAGGATACAGTGGTGAGCTTGTACTATGGCCAATGCCCCAATGGCTACAGAAGGTTGAAAACTCTCGACTGCTATATTGTGGGCCATTGTCTGATACTAGCGTTTCAGGTATTCCATATTCTGCAAATATTGACTTTAATTGGTTGATGACAGCATTTGATGTCGTTCCATTCAACTTTCGTAAAATTGGATATTTACTGTAATAATCTGCTACCAGCAGGTATTGTGCTCCTTTGTACTCAAGAAGGTCTGTTCCAACCTTTTGCCAGGGAAAACTTGGAACGTTATGAGGGTGTAGCGGTTCTTTCGATTGCTGTTTCGAGTATTGCAAACAGGTGGAACAAGTAGTTGTCATCTTCTTAATATCATTCGAAATCCCAG